TACACACACACACACACACACACACACACACACACACACACACACACACACACACACACAGTTTTGAGGTGGTTATTAGAGTTTCAGGTGCAGCTTTAGACCAGATATTTGCTGATGCCCTAGAAAGCAGAGATCTGGGTAGCACAAAGCAACGTTAAACATCTCTCCCTTTATAAGTCTATTTGAGACTAACAGTGAACAGTTTGGTTCTAGAATAACAAGAGGGGTTATTTAACCACAGAGTTAACGCTTCAGCCGTGTGTTATACACACACATCGCAGGTTGAGGGCCCAAGATAATGTGATCCCAATTCATGTGTCAGACCCCAAGGTGTTCCATAGGTGTTTTCCCATTCAGTCCTCCCTAAACTTGACTAGCAGATTAACCCGTTGGACCTTTTCCCGATTGCCCCAGGCAGGCTGGGGGTCTTCTGCAAGCCACTGATGTCCTGGGTCTCTCACGCATCCCCCAGCAGGGGGGTTGAATGAACTGCACCGCTGTTACTTAATCTGATGACTGGAATTTGGGATTTCAGGGGGAATGTATTGCCCTTGTGTTCGGGTCGGCGCCCCTTAGTGGCGCCCGCTGGTCTGGGCGTTATGACAATCAGATCACGCGCAATTCTGCACTGGGAACTCCAGCGCCACTTTGGTTTTGCGTACCACAGACACACACTCCCCAAGCTCGCCGCTGGGGGACCCTATTCATATTCTGCGAACAGTAGAGGGTCTGGAGGGGAAGAAAGCAGAACAGTGAAAAAAACCGGTGGGAATAATTCTCAGGCGGGGAGCGGACCACAGTGGAGCCTTGGAGAATGATTGTGAAATTCGCCTCTCACTTTTAGAACGTGCGTCCATTCAGGCTAGTCACAGGCCCGATATTTGTAGCCCATTGAAGGTCAGAGTTGCTGTTCAGGGGATATTTCATAGCCTGGCTCATTCCAAAAACAAACAAACAAAAAACCAAACCAAACCAAACCAAACCAGAGCGCGCATCTATTATTTTCTATCCCCGGAGAAGTTTTAATACTAATGAAGATTTGCTTCAACAGAGGAGCAATGACATGAAAAACTGCCTCTCTGTTTATAGGGTAACACCAAGCGCTCCCCACATCATTGCACACGCAAGTCAAAAAGTTATTTATTCAATAATTGTGTCTCAGCTGAATCGGTATCGCTTGCAGCGCCTCTCTTTATGGTTGTCTTTTATTTGTGTAATTTGAATACTATCTCTAGATCGACAATATTGCTTATTAAATGGCTACTTTCCCCTCCCGCGCTAAATCAACACAGGAGAATAACTGTATTACCCCATGAAACCATAGTGGTTTTCGTTCTCATTCGATACGTTGCTTGTCCCTTAAATGTTGGCAAAGTGAGCACGGGTTTGTTTTCCCCTGGATTCCCCCCACCTCCAGGTCCAGACTAGTTTGAATGCGATCAAAGCCAACCAGGGCACGAAACGCCAGTTCCAGATTTTCACTCCTTGTCCTGAGCCATTCTTAAGGCGACTGTGACTCTCTGCTTGGCCAATAACGCGCTTTGTTTCTTGCCAACGTTTGCAGAGGCGGAGTCCACGGCAAAAAGACCCCGAACGACCATCACAGCCAAGCAGCTGGAAACCCTGAAAAACGCGTATAACAATTCCCCCAAACCTGCCAGGCACGTGAGGGAGCAGCTGTCCTCAGAGACCGGGCTGGATATGAGAGTCGTACAGGTGAGATGGGATAGCGGGAGCAACCCACGCAGGGGTCCCTCCTTAGAAAGCCAAGGGAGCCCCCCCCCAATAAATCGCTCTTATTTGTAAGGATTCCTTCTATATACAGGTATTGACAACTATCCATTTTAGTTGGTCAGATTGGATCAAGAAAACAGCGTTTTTTAAATTATTAAACATCTATCTTGTGGTGGCCATCTCTGTACAGACCCAGAGTAACGGCCAGTCTTTGTGCTTTCAGAATGGTTTCAACACACACACACACAGACACACACACACACACACAGATTTGTCAGAGTATATTTGCTACAGCTGGGTGAAATGCTCCGAAATTGGATTTTTATAATGTGGGTCAAAATTTGAAATGTTGACCAAAAAACTGGGGGTAAAAAAAAACAAAAAACCACAATTTTCGCAGATCCGCGCCTTCCACCCTCTCCCATCTTGTTTTCTTAAAAAGACCGGTTCTAAAGCTGGCAAAAATTATTCATGTTTTGCAACGTAAACAACAAAAACATCGACATTTTGAATTTTGACAAAAACAAACAAACCTTGAAATAATTATTCAGTGAAAGTTTCACAATTTCCTCCCATTTGGGGGGCAGATCTAATATTTGTACCTGATCTCTGTGCTTCTAGCTAGTCAAAGGCTCTGGTCCCCCAATGCACCGGACTCACAGGGGCTTCCCTTGATTTCAGTGGGACGCTGTGCTGGTGCAGTGGTACTTCCCTGTGGCATGAATAGCTCGAAGAGCCGGTTGAAAGTTTTTGTCCTATGAAGAGTTTTATCCATTGAAAAAAGGTGTTTCATTGAAAACCAATTTTTATATGAAAAAAATTCATTTGATGCAAATATTAAAATTGTCATGCCTCTCTCTCCCCCTCCCCCCGCCAATACTTTTCTCTAGACAACTAGAAACGTCTCAAGTTGTTCCTTTAACCTCCTTTGTTTCGTTGGGCAGGTGTGGTTCCAGAACAGAAGGGCTAAGGAAAAAAGACTAAAGAAAGATGCTGGGAGGCAGAGATGGGGCCAGTATTTTAGGAATATGAAAAGATCCCGGGGGAATTCAAAATCTGACAAGGACAGTATCCAGGAGGAAGGCCCAGACAGTGATGCTGAGGTCTCCTTTACAGGTAAGAGGAAGAAGGTGCATGTTCTGGTTGGCACTACTGGTATGCTGCGGCGATCACAGGAGTGTAATTCAAGGCTTGAGCGAGATTTCAGGGTGCATAGGCCTCATGCTATCCCCCTGGACAGGGGTCAATTTCACCCCAAGTGCATTTTTCACCCAGCCTTCTTCCAAGCAAAGCTGTTGGTTTTGCATCACAGTTTCATTTCATTCTTTAAATATCATTTGCTTGCTAAGCATTTCCTGCCATAAAATAATCAAAGAAAACAAATGCCCAATACAGGTGAATTAAACTGGGAACATAAACACAAATACGTGTCAGCAAGAACTGGAGCAACCCATGACTGAGTCTGCATTCTGCTAAGTAACTTATCTCCACTGTGACTGCAGTGAGTGATTTAGAACTCCTCAGGGTAGGAGACAGTTTGGACTCAATTGCATTTGAGAAACTAAAGGTGGAAGCTGTTTTTTTTTTAAAACGGTGTCACATTTGAAACCATCAAAGGAAAAACCTGAAGAATGTCACTCCGGATTTGTCTGGGCAAGTGACCTCTGACATTAAAGGAACACTTTTCTTTGATGAACTTTATAAATGACAAAGATTTAAAAGCAAAAAAGTTCAGAATGATTGATCAGAATGTTTATATTGCAAATATTGATAGGAGAGTCTCTGCAACCCATTGGATTGTTTCTGGGGTATTCATATTCCATGAGTTATGTTCTGGAAGTGTTTTTATTTCAACAATTTTTGGGAGGTGGGGATTATTCCACTGAATTATTTTGGGGGTATTTTTTATTTTATCTCCTTGTTTTGGGCTGTTGCTCTCATAGGGTTTCAAGCTTCTTTGGAGGAGAGATGTCACTCTGTCATCTGTATTGACAGATCTTCCCTCAAGATGCAATAGAGCACTTAACCACATGCTTAACTTTAAGCAAGAGTAGTTGCCCTTGACTTCAAAAGTGTTATCCGGTTGTTCAGTGCTTGCTCAGTACCATGGACACCTCGTCTTCATGGCATTTCTTAGCACAGCAATCAGTTAACTGCTCCTTGCTATGATTCTGCCAATATGAGGTACCGAGATGGGCCCATTACCATAGAGTTCAAGAACCTCACAATGCCAAAAGTAGTTTTGAGCCAAAAACATCAAGACTTTCCATTCTGAAAATATTGAAATGTGAGGTTTTGACATTTTCAAAATGTTTTTTTCCAGTTTTTCAAAATAAAATGTTGAAGTCAATCTAGTTTTGTGAAAAAGTTTGGTTTTGTCAAAACAGCGTTTTCCAATGGAAAACTCTTTAGATGAAAAATGTTCACTCAGCTTTATGTATAAATCTTATTTTAAATTTCAGCTTGTCTATTGATTCCCTACATTGTATTAAATTTTCATGCCTGGTCCCTCATGGTCTTATGCAGCATCATTAGTCTATATGAATATCCCATTACACAGTAACTAAAAGTATTAAACACAACTATTGATAAGTTTAAGATATGCAGGTTGATATCCTAGATAAGAGAGTCATTCTCAGTTTTTATGACGGGTCCAATAAATGCAGATATAATTTTGCTGGTAACTAGAAAATATTTTTCATTTTCAAAAATGTTTTTAAGTGATCCAAATACACTCCATTAACCTATTTCTGATCACCCAAAAAACATTGCAATTTTAATTCCTTTTCCTAAGTAATGGATGGTTTTCCTTTAGATCATTCCCTTCTATCAGTGAGTATCATGGTAGCTCCTGAAATGATAGTGAAAATAGAGATAAATATAAGTAACGAGGCCATAATAATAATTAATAAAAGGAACACAGAACAATAGAAAGAGGCAGATCTCAAGAGCCTAGACTCACTTCTCCCTTAAAGGATGTTTTTTTTAAAAATATGTTTATTTCTTAGTATCTACATTTCATACATGTTTTTAAAAGTCCAAGTGAATTAGACTCCTGCCCCCATGATAAAAAAAAATCCCATTGTCTTGGCTGAGTTCCAGCCATAGATAAAAACAGAGGTAATAAGGAATTAAGAAATGGCAAGACCAACATAGCATTGAAAAGCTATGCAAAACATGCAATTCCTCTTTCTCTCTCGCCATACACACCCATCTAATCTATCTATATATCCATCCATGGGTTTTAGAGTTCCACAGCATTCAAGGTTTCTGATCAGATTATCTCCAGCTAGTTTGCTTTCCCAATAAATCAAGCCCGTTTCCCTTTCAGATGAGCCCTCTATGTCAGAAATGAGTCACTCCAATGGGATTTACAGCAACCTAAATGAAGCTTCTCCTGCTTTGGGGAGACAAGCTGGGACCAACGGGAGCTTCTCTTTGGAACATAGTGGCATTCCTGCTCAGGACCAGTACCACGACCTCAGATCCAACAGCCCCTACGGGATACCCCAATCACCAGCTTCTTTGCAGGCATTGCCAGGCCACCAACCTTTAATCTCAAGCTTGGTTTATCCAGACAACGGTTTAGGCATCATAGCTCAAGGTGGACAAGGCGTGCCCCAGCCAATGAGAGTCTTAGGTGGGAATGGACCCAGTTCTGATCTCTCCACGGGGAGCAGTGGAGGGTATCCAGACTTCCCTGCCAGCCCTGCCTCCTGGTTAGATGAAGTTGATCATGCCCAGTTTTGATACAGGACCCACCACAATATGGGGAAAAGACTTCAGGCTACTAAGCATCATCTACTGTTGAGAATAAAATATGGGGCAAAAAATGACTTCTGAGGAAAAAGTAAGAGAGTTACATGGAGAAAGAAAGGCAAATGTGCTCAAGAGGTTGGCCAGCCGTGGCTTCGCAAGACAATTGACCAAGGAATCATGTCAGAGTGACTGGCTTAAGAAAAGTCCAAGTGAAACTGCTCAGTGTGTCTACAGAACACTCCGGAACACCAAGACTCGTGCTTTACAGAGCTGATAACGTATTTTGTTTTCTGTTGTCAGTTCATTCTCCAAAGCAATGACTTGCTTCATCACTTACTTACCCCACAAGCTTTTTTAAAAATAAAGATCTCATCCGTTGTAAAAGAAGCGACAATGTTTATATTTCTACAGGAGAAAGGTGAACAATGAATAATCTCTTCACAAATTCATGGTAGAAAACCATGTACCTATTTCTCTGTTCTTCCAACAGGTTAAAAAAAAACAGTGACAGAGTAAGGCTTTTTTGTTTTATTTTTGAATTTATATTAGCTTTTCTAAATTTAAATGGTCGTTAATATGCCAATCATTTATTAATAATCATATTTTCCTTTATACTATGAGGACCATGTGTTAACTTTGCTTTTCACCTTTTTAATTTGTAGATTGCTAGCTTTATTCTTTCCACATAAATGTTAAACTGTGAATAGATGTATTTATTATCAAATAACCACTGTTTTCCAACAGGGTCAAGAAAACTCTTGATCCAAGAATATTGGTCTTTCTGGATTGTTAAACTAATGTTTTTCTTTACTGATTCTTCTATGACAAATTTATTGCAAAGCTTTTCAAAGTTGCATCTAATGTCTTGTTGCCAAATACCGTCTCAACATTTTGTTAGGCTTGGTTTAGTTACAACTGTTCTTCATATATTGTTGGGGAGGCATCCCAATGAGCATACTTATTTTCACCACCACTACACTTTCTCCATTCTATGCATTTGTGTATTTCACAGCAGATATAGTGAAAACTGATTGTGAAGAAAGGCAAAACAATATGTATACTGTTACCTGTAAAATTGAATATTGATTGTAGATTGTGTATGTCCAGTGTCTTATTTATATTCTCTCTCTCTCTCTAATGATCAAATACTTTATGACTTCAAATAAATTTGTCATTTACAGTTTAAATAAGTCTTTTGCTAAATTCACACTAAAATCACCAATCTGGTTAAATATCATCTTTAAAATACATTTAAAAAGCCCCTGAAGTCTTGAGGCCCTGATTCAGCAAAGCACTTAAATACATGCTTCACTTTAAGCACCTGAGAAGTCCCATTAAGTTCAAAAGTGCTTTGCTGAACTGAGGCTAAAAAGAGATGGTCTCCCTGGTAACCTTTGGGAGCTATAAGCAATATTGTTAAATGATTGCATAGTCTTTGATGACTGACAGCCATTTTCGATGACCTAGGATCAGGGGCGGCACCAGCGCACCAAGCACCTGCCTGGGGTGGCAAGCCGTGGGGGGTGGCCTGCCGGTCGCCGTGAGGGCAGCAGTTTGGCGGAATGCCTGCGGGAGGTCTGCCAGTCCTGCGGCTTCAGCGGCGGCTAGCCGCGGGACCGGTGAACCTCCAGCATGCATGCCGCCGAATCCGCGTTACCAGCAGACCTCCCACAGGCCGAAAGCCACCTGCCTGCCATGCTTGGGGCGGCAAAAAACATAGAGCCGCCCTTGCCTAGGATTATTTCTTAGCACTTGAGATATGGGAAGAAATACCCAATAATGCAGATGGTTTGTGGTTTCCAGTTAGTCTGTGGCAACACATTCTGCATCTTGAGACTGTAACGTCCGTGCATTAAACAACAGAGGCCACAGGAGCATGTTTAATGGCGTGAACTGAAAAAAGGGGAAGGAGAGTTAACCTGTTTTTCCCTCCCCTAGGCCACAAATTTCAAATGTCGCTGACTAAATGCAGATCAAGGCACCTTTTATTTAGGTTTCTACATAAATATTTAAGACCCAAAGGGGGAGATTTTCAAAGGGGAAAATGGGATTTGAGTGCCCTTCTCCCATTGGAAGTCAGTGACAACTGGATGCCTAATTCCCTTTGTGCCATCTCCCCCATAGCGTTCAGACTGGAATGCCTAAGTTTAGGCATCCATGTCCGCCTGTAGGCAGGTCAATAAGACGTGCTGTTTAGAGCTGCTGCAGAGATTGTCTTCAGCAAGTGCTGTATGCTCGGCTCTCTAAGGATCAGACCCCGCATCCGGCAAAGCACCTGAGACACGCTTACCTCTATGCTTGAGGTGAATCCCATTGACGTCACAAGCTTTGAAGTGCTTTTCTGAACAGGGTTGGGCAACTGCCCTGGGGGGCTAAGGTCCCAATCCTACCTAGATGTGCCTAATTTTACTCGTGGAGAGTAGTTGCATTGACTTCGACGAGCAAGACACCAGAGGATCAGGGCTCTTGTGCCTCACTTTAGGTGACTACATTTGAAAAAAATCTAGGCCTTAATTTTGACTTGGGATCAGCTGTTTAAATGTACACGTTCCTGTTACTAGCATCTGGGTGAGTATTTTCTTCTGGGCTCTCTGGCCTTTCAGTAGGAGCAGCATTGTTAAATGATGAGTTAAGACAAAAGCATGAACGTTAAAATGCTTTGTTCAAAGCGATTTACTCCTGGCCTAGCAGGACACATTTCTTTCACTTGGGGGTGGGAACAATGGCTATTCAGAAAGTGGGCATCTTATCAATAGGTACTGGTAATACTGGGGACTCTGTCAAACGACTTCTCTTGAATTCGACATCTCACACTGGAGTCAGTTCTACACACAGAGTAGTTGCCGGCTTGGGGCTTTTGGGAATAAAATTAAAGAAAGGAAGACAATAACTGCACATGTTTCTGGAGTCAGAAAAGCTCCTTGGTTCTAGTCTCTGTGCAAGAGGCAACAGCTAATGGTTTCAATGTGATCTGGGCGCCAAGTTTTCCTGAATTCTAATTCTGACTGACAGAGTCCCCCTGTGAACAGAACTGCTTTTCCTCAGTCTCCCCATCTGTAAAATGGGACTAGTACTCATTTCCCTCACAGGGATGTTGCAAGGGTTAGTTAATATTAGTAAAGCAGTTTGGAGATAAAAAAAATCCAAAATGTGATTAGCGAAACCTTTGTGTATCCTGCCTACTGGGGAAATGGGGGACGGGTGCTACATCACAGGCCAGCCCTAGATTGAATGGGTGCCCTCACATCAATTCTGTAAAGAAAGTACCTGAGGATGCGTCCACCATGAAGTCTCCTTCATGACTAATCCATAAAGGAAAGGGAAGAATACATAGTAACACCCGTCGGGCACATGCAGATAGTGCATATAGAAGTACTAGGCTGGACCAGTTATAGGTGTATATCTGCCTTAGGTACTTATATGCCGCCCATTACTGGTGTATCGGAGCACGCCCAATCTTTTTAATGTATTTATCCTCCCAACACCCCAGTGAGGGCAGGGCAGTGTTATTATCTCCATCGTACAGATGGGGAACTGAGGCACAGGGAGGCTAAGTGAGTTGCCCGATGTCACACAGGAAGTCTGTGGCAGAGAAGACACTTGAACCCAGGTCTCAGGCCAGCACACTGACCCCTGGGTTATCTGTCCTTGTTCTACAGAGCCCTACACCATCCAATGCATTGGAAAGTGCAGGATTAAAGACAGCAGCACATTTTAACCTCCCTTTTAAAATCGCATGCAACTCGTTCAGACTTGCCCACCAATGGGGTCGGATTCTGCAGTCGTAACTCAGACAGTGGGCCATAAACAGGCAGAACCCCACTGAAGGCTGGGTGCCGATGAGCTCCAGTCCTGAAGCCCTTAATCAAGCAAGACACTCAAGCTAGACTTCAGCACTCTGAGGCCTGGATGCAAAGTCCATTGAAGTGAACAGAATGACATGCTAGATATTGTAAAGCAGGGTCTTCCAGCCATCACTAAAAAGACTGATAGGAAATCTACCATGATGCCAATATTTCAGGTATTTCTTGGTTTCCCTGACATGTAACACTTCAACTCTGTAAGGGTTTGACTTCCACTGTGAAATCGGCAGGGCCAGTCAGGAAACAACAATTCCATTCCTCATGAAAAGTTTCAAGGTTTCAAAACTTGTTTTCATTTGAATGTGGAAGGAAACAACACCTTTATTTTTTATGAAAAAAAATCACCCACCCACGCACTCATGCTCTCTCTCGCAGGATAGCCGATAGCTTGGTGGCTAGGGCCTACACGTGGGACATGGGAGACTCGCCTCAAGTCTCTGTTCTGGATCAAGAGTGCTGTAACTACCAGGCTATCGAGTTATAGATCTGATGTCTCCTGTTGGCACTGAGCCACTTTGTATAAATAATTAAATGTTTCTTAAGCCAGAGAGAGAAGCAAAAAGTTTGTTGAAAATTTTGACCAGCTCTAGAAATCAGTTCTAAGAGCCACCTCTGATAGGCAACCTACTATCATCAAATTCTACTGTAACCTAGGCTTAAGTTTTTCAGTTCACTGTAGAGTAAATGTATCGACCAGGAGACAGGAAGTATTTTCAATGGGGAAAACCTTATTTTAAAAGATATCACACACTCATCTTTGTGGCCTTATCCTGTGCTTCTTGCACAACCCGGGTGCTGGGTGTGTAAAATGGCAGGAGTGGGCCCCCCCCCTTCTTCAAAATCTGTTTCCCCCCCTTTCAAAATCTAAAGTCACATTTTCTGTTCCAAGATCTATGAGGGAAATGCACTTGTGCTATTAAAAATTATAAACAGTCTTACTGTTAAATATTTTCTGGTTAGTTCCTAAACTGGAGTCAGCTAAGGTCTGTAATCTATTTATTCCAGCCGAAAGAGCTGGAACGGCATGACCCTGCGTCTCCAAGGAGCAGGTGGGTAACCTGATGCACGTGGAAAACTACTGAAGAAAACTGGTGACTAACGTGTCAGAAATGCTGCTAATCCCCCCCAGATCTCCCATCAGGTAGTTTCTAAGGGAGGTAAATCTTGACAACCCAACCAAATGTAAACAAAGCAACAGAAACAGTTCCATGTGGACATGCAGATTCTGCGGGAAACAATAGGTGAGAGCATAGGTGCTGGAAGTAGGGGGGCTGCCGCACACTCTGGCTTGAAGTGGTTTCCATCATGTACAGCGTTTACAGGTTTGGGGTCAATGATTCTCAGCACCCCAGCTATACAAATTGTCCCAGCACCCCTGGGCAAGGCGGTGGTTTCATGTCACACAATGCAGACCTCTAGGTGAACTCCAGAGCTCATCAGCCAGAGCTCATCACCCAGATTTGTACCCCGAATCGCCAGTTTCTTCTCTAGGGGCTGGATTTCAGGACATTCATTCCTCTTTATAGTTGGAATACGCATATGGGCTACACCCTGTTCTCCCCTGCACCCCGTGAACATTGAGGCACCATTCCATCATGCGGGGGGGGGGGAGAATTTGGGAATCTGTGCAGGAAGTGCATTGCGTGGCATGGACTGCCCGCCCATGTGACCATCGCAAGGGGATGCAGGGAGAGAGCCATCCCATGGATCTCTGATCCTCCACCCAGTGTGTGGGGCTACTTTAACAGCAAGGCTAAAGAAGCCACCACAGATCAGCACTTCAGCCACTCAGTGGCCTGCAGGGAGAGAATTTCCTCCATTGCCCTGGACAGGCACTAGGGTTGGCCATTGCCACAGGGATTTTGTCCCTAGGCCCCAGCCCTGCTGGATTTATTCATCACTAGCAAGAGAGGAGTCCAGGGCAGTTCGGTCTGAGAAAGCTGCACAGGATGGGGCCTATTGTTTGGATTTTAATATAATCCCCAAATTCTGGAGATGAACGTATTCTGCATGCAGTACGCACACACACACACACATTTGTATGCATATTAATATTATACAGAGAGGAGGAAGTATGGTCCTATATATATCTATACAGGACCATACATCCTCCCCTCTAGATAATATGAATTGTGCATACAAACACACGTCTATGTATACATGTGTCTGAATTATATGCAGAATACATTCCTCTCCGTATAAATAGAGACTCTTCATTTTTATAATGTTTTTAAATCCTTTGTTTTCCTCTGAAGAATCCCTCGTGCCTTTTGTTAGCTTGT